CGCCTATGCCCCTCCTTATGGGAGCTCAGCTCCCATTGGCTCCCACATAACTCGAACCCTGGTGTTATTGCAGTTATTGATTTATCATGACATAATACATCTTGTGATGGGAAAAGCACTAAGTACAAGTAACAGAGCACTATACTTATGTAATATTAATGATAATCTGGACATTGGGAGAGGACGTTGTTCTTAATTTTGTCCTCTTTATTGTGTCTCTTCAGGAATTCTGCAGCAGAGTTTGCTGATTGAACCAGAGAGCTTGGTCTCGCTCAACCTACTTGTGGCGTCTGCAGTCTCAGCGTTCACCATCGGGGCGGCCCTTTCCGGTCTCGCCGTCTGCTGGATCATGGCCCACAAGCCCGCCAACCGTCGCCACGGCAACACCTCCCAGTCCTCTATCCAACGGCGTGAAAGAGGCCTGCTGACTAATGGCAGTGGGATGGGAGGCTCTGTGCTCAGCGTGACGCGGCAGGGAGGTGGGGATCGCCCCTGTACTCAGGGCGGGGAAACCCTATTTGTCATGCCCAACGGCTGGGTAAAGTCAGGAGAGCTCGACCCGGGTTTCCTGCCCACCCCGGAGCACACGCCTCAGCAGAAACGCAGAGGCCTTCGACTGTCTGACTCCAACTCTGGAGGGTGGGACACCAGCCAGACGTACCTGGGCGGAGGCTCCGTGGGGCTGGGTTCCCCCTGCCGTATCCCCCCCTCCGTCTACCTGACCACCAGACTCTTCCAGCAGGGGGGAGGCGGGAGACACAATGGTGAGGTCCGTGGGATTGACGCACCACGCCAACACTATGTCTGCCTGAGCAAGCAGGAAAAAGGAATGAAGGGGACGCCCAAAGCCCCCCTCAGGAAGTCTGCAGGAGAATATGTGTACCCCATGACCCCCCAGGACTCGCCTGAGCGTCGGAGGGTGGTGTCAGCACCCAGCGCCCCCGTGGAGTACAGCGAGCCCATGCCATTGCGCTGGCAAGCCCCGGAAGGTTACATCCTGAGCAGCCACGGCATGGTGCCCGTCTCCCTGCCCCCACCCTCCATGCCCGCCCCCAGTGGCCAGGCGTACATGTCCCAGCAGCACACCCCCGCACTGAGCAGGGCCATGCTGCGAGGGGCCCTGGAACGAGGGGAGCTGGGCGAGCTGGTGGATCTCAGCCAGTTCATGAGTAAGAAGAACTGCAGCGATAGGACTCAGGCGGGCCAGTGACTCACGAGGAAGTAAAGTGGAAAGAGAGCTTTTCCATGACCATAACTCTCTGTTTTATTTACAAAGATCTCTCTTTCACTCTTTCCTCCTCATTCTGTCCATTCCCCTCTACCTTCCCTTCTCTTTTCCCTACATCTTTCCTTGTCATTCCCCCCCTCTGATCTGCCAGTTTCATAGGCTACCCCTTCCTTCCCTTACCCCCATGATGAGTCTCTATTTATGACTGGCTGCTGGGTCTGCCACTCATATCCGGGCCCACACTAATTGGTCAGATGGACTGAGGTTGTTGCTGTGTCTGCATTGCAGAGCTGCCTCTCTCTCCTGCTACTCAGCGGCAGCGGGATGAGAGAGGAGAGAGGGTGGAGGGTAAAAAAAGAGAGGAGGGAATGTGGAAAGCAGAACGGGGGGCCGAGACGACAGAGACAAAGATGGACATGGCACTTAGAGGCTGTCTTCTCTGTGCAGATTAACTGAGTCTGCAGAGCCAGTCAAATACTGCTACAGGAGTGGGATGTTTTCCCTCTTGGATAACATTAACAAGACTGCCACCCATCTGTTCTTCACTACATTACCTGTTGTCTGATTGCTAACTAGGTATTTCAAGTGAAATAGCAAAATCTTAACCTTGTAAATGATCTGAAACAAAACACAAAGTGAGATGAGGAAATCCCTTCTTTTTCTCTCTCCTGTTTGCTGCACACACATAAGATGCATACATGTTTTTGTACAGGTGAGGGGTGGTATTTAGTACTCCATGTGTACGAGTGGGACGATGTGTGTGCCAAATGCCTCTAACCAGTCTCACAGCGATATGGGACCATAACTCTTTGGAGAGCAGAGTGCAGGACTGAAATGTCAGCACTTTTTCTGCCAACTGCATGCTCTCTGTAATGACGGCATCTCAGCCGTCCATCGCGCTATCCGTTTGCCTGCTTACACGCCATGTACTCTTTAATGACCAATAATTCCACAAAGACGTCTGGGGAGATTGCAACCCGAACACCGGACTGTCTTTAATCAGAGCTGGACTGAAAGGAGGAAACAGAGATGTTGTTGGAAGTGAATGCAATGCAATATATGAACACTTTGTCCTTCACTGTTCACACTCAAACAAACACACATACAGGTATACACCAACACATTCATTATTGGGAAATTATAAACCACAGTAGGGTTTAATGGCCAAAAGTACCCCCAGTGGGTCAAGGTCCCACAGTCGTGATACAGAATAAAGTGACAGTTACAGGGGAGATGATTGAAACCTGTGGCCTAACGCAAAGCCAATAGGCGTAATGGAAATGTTCCCAGCAGGCAAATGGGACTATCTATTCAGCCCATCAAAGTGTCCGAAACCATGAACTGGTCGGAATTTAGAGCATCACAACATGGTGCGAGTATGTCCACGAGGAGGTGGAAGTCATAAAAAAGTGACAAGATAAAGAAGAAAGAAGTGAAAGACAAGTACGACTTGATGAAAAGACTGTTGATTAAAACGAGAATGTGTTACAAGTGACCAGAAGATTTTCATGCTTAGTCAGTTGTGAACAAATGAACTCTGGTTTGTGCTGACCTTATTGTCAGCAGCAATATATGGTTTATCTGTACATAGTAAACTTTAATTTAGATACAAATGATAATGTAAGACAAAAAGTAAAAATGTCATCAGGCACTAGCTTGCAAACTAAAATGTATCATGTCACTATAGCTATTAATGTATGATAATCTGTTTTCATATGTGTTCCTATCAACTGGCTTCAAGGTTGAAGACACTGAAAACGACTAGTGTCTTTTTCTTCTATTTTTTACATCTTTGTGCCAAAACCGCGAATGATTTACCCATGCCTGATTACTGAAGCAAAAAAAACTTGTTTTAAAGTGCCATGATGACCATTTCAGTCAGCAGTGCTCCTCAGTGGTGTCGGAGAACTTGTGATATGTATGCCTTTTACCACTACATGCTGAATGTTATATATTATTTTTTTATTTAGATGTGGGCTTGTACTCTTGAAATAATTTGTTTCAGTTCCCCCTGTCTGTCCTGATGCCACTGACACTGAATGCTAACAGCAGCGTTTGAGGGTCTGTTTATAAACTACATTCAAGTCACACTTACTATACTGTAAATATGTACACAGGAAAACAGACACTTTGTCACGCCCTTTATGATTATACTGTAATGCATTCACTGATGCCCTAACGTGAGTTGTCTTTAGGACAAACAATCCAACATGTAATATAATTAGTTCATAAGCAAACCTTCAAATGGACTGAAATGCTGTAGGGAATACTGTACATCTCATTTTGTGTCATATCTGTCCTGATCCTGAACGTCTTGTCTTGTTCTGTCGTCTGTGATCGTCTGTCTGTCATCCCCAACCAACTGCCATACTGGAGGATCTTGAGAATACTTGTCAGAATCGTGAGTGAATGAATGTACTCATTATTTTGTTGTTTCTTATCATTATACTGTGCAGTAATAAGGAAAAGCACAAAAAACCTTTTCTCTTTTTGTTGTTGCATTTTGAATACAGAGCTGTTCTGTATCATTTGTGAATAGTGTAAATAATCATCCTGAAGGTATAGGGTTTCAGTTTTGGAGGGATCGTTCTTGCTCTTCTGAGACAGGAATGTGTTTGAAGTGTGAGGTTTTTTTTCCCTTTGGTGACAATGCTGTGAATAAGATGTATGTACAGTATTTACGTGACTTTGGCTGACAGCTGAGTTCAGCTGTTTCCTGTTATTAGAGTAGAGTCGCAGGCCTGATCTCAGCCAGAACTGAGCCTTCTCATTTGACTGATGCCTGCCGAGTTTTTCTGCAGTTGCTAAGAGACTGCTGTTATAATAACCATCGATCTTTGGAGTACTGCTATTAAATGGCATTATATAATTGACTGCTAATGTTGTCATGTGTGGTTCCCGAATGCACTCATTGAAATAAATGTATATAGTTATATGGTTCCCATGCATATACACACATTAACAAAAGCAGTTAAATTACCTCACAGCAGTCTCGAGTAATGTGTGTGTCATTATCGAGTTTATTTTCCATAATTGAGACATAATTTGTAATGAGATGGGCAGTTTTAAACTTCACAGCAACCAACACTCCAGAGCAGAAATACAATCTGTCATGCATTTACTTTTCGGGCCACAAGAGGGAGCTGGACACTGGTCTTCTTTCAATGTAAGGCTTGAACTCCCATGGGTGCCTCTGCATTGACTTCACATCATCTGAGTGTGCTGCTGAGACACAGAAGGTAGTTTTGTAGAGAGGTCTGCTGCAGAGGTGAAAATAACCCTTGTTCTCTGATTTAATATAATGCTTAGAACATCACACAGGTACATAACAGGTATTTATATCCAAAAACAGACAGAGAGAAACTTGACGATATGGGCCAAGCAAGTTTGAACAGATTATGTTGCATTTTACACGTAATTGTATAAACCAAAACAATTATAAATGTCAAAAAATTATGCCTACATTTCATTAAAATAAATCACGAAAAGTTGTTGAGAAATGCCGATTATTTAAAAGGGGGTACTCCGGTGTGTCATATTGCACTTCTAAATACTTGGATGATACAAAAGAGACACAGGAGTATTACAAAATATATATCATAAACAAAGCAGCAATGGTTCAGATATTCTGACCTTTAGTCCTTATGTTTCAAGCTCTCTGCTACAATTCCCATAATGCGTCTCAATAGCGTATTTGAAACCCCACACCTCCAGTTCGTAACACGGTTCAAGTCTTAAGCCAGGGCACAATATACAGGCAAATTAAATAATGACCAATAAATGGTTGTGCTCTCATTTACTTGCGAAAAAATCTCTTCAGCAGAAAAGAATAGCTGACAGAATCAAAACAGCAGTTGGTGGAGGCGATCCATTCAGCTACATGTAAATAGACATGTACAGGTAACCTTTCAAACTGCCAATTTACTGGTGGTTCGTAGTTGACAACAAAGCCAACATGGATTGGCGTGTAGCAGAAAATGAAAACAATCATATTTGCTGTTACTATCCCAATGGTGCGTTTCTTTTCCTCAGACTTGTCATCTACCTTTAGCAGAATAGAGATGATGCGACTGGAACAGAAGACAACAATCAACAGTGGAGCGAGGTAGCCACAAACGACCATAATGACAATAAACACTGGACTAAGGTGGATATTTTTACACCTTTCATAACAGGTCAAGAGTTTTTCTGGGTGATTATCCTTATGAAATATAGCAGATATTGTCAAAATAAGTCCCCAAAGGATCAAACACACTGCAAAAGCGACCTCTTTCTTCTTCTGCCATGATCTGGCCTGCAGTGGGAAACGTATAACCAGGTAGCGCTGAACACTGATGGCTGTGGTGGTCAGGATGCTGGCATACATGTTGATGTAATGTGTGAAAATAAGGAAAGAACAGACGTGATTCACTGGTAGGCAGATGAAGGCATTATAGATCCTTAAGGGAAGGAAGAGGATGAGGGTCGAATCAGCTATAGCCAGGTTGAGCATATAGATGTGCGTGTCTGTCCAGGACTCCCGTTTGGCAAAGAAGGCGCGCAGAGCAGCGGCGTTGAGGAAGAAACCCAGGAGAAACACAGGACAGTAAGCCAAACCCTCAAGGGTGTCCACCCTGCAAGTAGAGTTGGTGGTGTAGGTGGTGTTGGTGATGTTGCAAACCATACCTATCTGTAAGAAGTTTCTCTGTGTCAGAGGGAAACATAATGTTAGTTAAGTATAGAGTAAATACACTATTCTTAGTGGTTAATCTTTTCAGCTTTCAGCGTATTCATTTATCAAAGGATAGGTTAACAGTTGTCTTTAAACAATACTCACATGCCTTCAACAGTTTGAATCATGTGTAGTTCTTATGAAAAACACCTTACTAAAATGTTATCAAAGCAGAACCTATTGTGTCGATTACAACATAACTTCCTTTTTTAGGAAACATTTTAATCACTGGAAACCGTGGTGCGTCGTCATTTTCACAAAACAGTAATAAAAAAAGTCTAAATTCTGATAACATAAACAGCTAAAAACAGTGGAAGACAGAAAAACACACATCAGCTTTGTGTTGATAATAATAATACAATTAAAACAAAACTCACCAAACGAGATGTAATGGCATAAACTTTATTGAATTAAGGAAGATGCAGCAGCATGTCTATGTCTTCAAACAAGTGCATATCTGTGTGAAGCACTACTACATTTGCCTCATTTCCTCTCTTGGTCACGTATTTGTGGCTTAAAATGCAAGACAAGTCAATAGGCCTGTAAGTATAGCAAACCTCTAACCTTCATGAGAGTTTCCTGCTGAACTTTAATGTGTGGAAAATGTGTGTATAGGTTTGCATTTGTGGGTGATATGAAACTGAAGCATTTTGTGTGTGTTGTTGCTTTGCAGTGCTTGGAGACTGAAGGACTTGTTGTGACTTATATTTCAATAAAGCACCTCCTTTTACCTTGTACTCGCATGGCTCCAAGATGAACAAAGAATCCTAAAAACTGCTAAATTCTGGATGAATTGACATAAAAAGTCAGTTTCACTTTATGCGAGACATGGATTAGACTGTGTGAGAGTTTGTGATCACATCTTTTGATAAAGTTTTGCTTTTTTAAAACTTTTTCTTTTATGTTCAATTCATAAATGATCTTCCAGGATTTTGGATTCTTTGTTTGCCTTGGAGGCATGCAAGAAAAACAAGCTCAAAACAAGAAGGTAACACAAGGTGAGTAATTGATTTACAAATGATCAATTCAGGGATGAATATTGATCCTATACCTCCTGGCAAATAAAGTGTCATTTTTGTATGATTAAGTCAATGCTATCCTTGTATTTACACATTTAAATCTGCAAACCTCAGTGGTAACTTTCAGCAAAGGTGTTGAGCAGAAAAAAACAAGGTCACACTGTGGTTGATGTGAGAGTGGGAGGCCAAGAACCTGACTATGACAGACAGGGAAAATAAATTGAAACATAAATATCATCCATGCTGGATTGAGAGCATAACCTCTCTATTGTCGAACAGTTTTTTGGGAGGGATGGTTCAATCATTTCCGCAGAAAAGACATCAAACCTTAATGGTAATGGATATTGAAAAATGTGTGCCTCATACATTATTTTAAATTCTCACATAAAAGCAGAAATAGCCTGGTTTTTTTCCGATAAACTTGTCAACAACTGACAGTCACAATCAAAGAGCCACAGCCACAAACCTTTGTTAATACGTTTCTGAAAATCCATATGACAAACATAATTAAAAAAGATTGAGAAATCATCAAGACATCTACAGGTCTACTTTGCCTTCAAGCAGTTCTGGCACATCTGCTCTGTGTACATGAGGTATTTTTTCAACATGTCCTCATCAAAGTGTTTCAATCCATTCCGACAGACGGTTTGAAGCTTGGACGCAAGACACTGTTTGCCACACACACACACACACACACACACACACACACACACACACACACACACACACACACACACACACACACACACACACAAGCCATACACTGCACAATGATTGCTATAATTGCTTTGTTATTGCTTACAGTTAGGTCTTACAGCAGATACAGGCTTGTGTGTCTGTGCTTGTTTTCTGGTGTGATTCACTTGTTTGTGGCAGAGGGTGTGTATTCACCAGCGTGAATAAGCTGGGACAAAATCCCAGACATTGATTGAACACAATGTCAATGTTCAACTAATGACATATTGTAGTTCAGTATTATATACTTTGTATCAGGAGAAAGAAAGAGTGGAAATTGGATAATGAAAGATTTTCCAAAAGTCCTTGTCCTCAATAATCTTCTTGAACCCTGGCCACATTTTAACAAGATTACGGTGATGAATCATTGCCTGCATGATAATCTTTTGTACAGCATGGGTCCAACACTGGGCTTGTATTCAAGCACTGAAGTATAGATAATGATTGGCAAAAGAGGCTTTCAGCTAGGACGAATAATGAGGTCATGGTTGCGAAAAAAGAAAAACAGAGTTGTTGAAAAAATGAAAAGGACATTTAAAACAGTATTTGGAATATGGCTTTTGGCAACATTGTTTACAAAGGCTTCCTCTGTTTAGTGGCCTTGGATGTTCAGTGGAAAAGGTCAGCTTTATTAGTAAGACATGAATAGAATTAAAGAGTAATAATAGGATGGTGTTGTTGGTAAAGGAGGACAACATGGCATATTAAAGGTCTAGTGTTCTACTTTCTTTAAATGGTTCTTTAATATTCAAAAAATAGATTACTGGTTTAAAAGTAGGAATAGACCAAAATCAAGTTTTGGTTGTGTAAATTGTTATCAAAAACTTAAACCACCAAAGTGTTTTCACATCCTCATGAGTTAGCCCAGGGGAGCAAAGAGCAGAGATAAGAATAATCCCAGTGTCTGTCTTCTTGTTAAAGGAAAGACTTTGGCATCAAAATGCAGATGCAGAGCTGAAAGTGCATTCACAAGGGAAGGAAATGACTGACGGAAAGAAACAAATGGGGAACGATTGAACGAGGGGAAATGGAAATCTAAAGAATCTGATTTGGAAATAGTTTTGGACTGGCTGAATGGAACAGTTGAGAATACACAAAACAAAAACAGATGACAAAGCAGAAAGGTTTTCAGTCTGAAGTTTTACTTTTCTTTTATACTGTATACCAGGGGTGGCCAACCCGCGGCTCTCGAGCCGCATGCGGCTCTTTGCCTAGTTTCATGCGGCTCTTCAGTTCATATCGAATTGTATATGTGTGAGTTTGGGGGAGAGACACTGACTCCTGACTAGTGTTGCACGGTGTACCGATACTTGAAAGGTATACCGCGATACCCTGTCGTTAAAATCGTTACGATTCCTCCGTTTCATTAGTATCGGTACTTTAAGAATGACGGGGGAAAGTACTCCGGTGAGAAAGCGCTGTTTTAATAAGAGCCGTGTGTGTTCAGCGCTCTGCTTCCACTCCCTGCACTGCAGCCGTGCCTGCACCCTCCCCTCTCAAGCACGCTCTAAATCCCTCCCCTCTCTCGTGCACGCGCTAGCTGCCAGAGCATGTGAGAAAACGAGAAGCATGGCTGCAAGTGGGAGTGCAACTGCCGCTGCGCCTCGGCTTGTTGACAAAAAATATGCCAGAAGCTAAATTTGGAAGTATTTTAGCTATATCTCTGACAGTGAGGGCAAGCCTACGGACACCACGAGGCCTGTCTGTAAGAAATGTATTAATTTTATTTAATACGAATTCTTGTCATTTATTGTATTTACTGTTCTCATTGTTTAAAAGTTTGTGTTATGGTTATGATTCTGGTGTGACATAAAGCACAATAATTACATTTAAGACTGTTTCCCGTTTTTTAAGAAAAATAATCGGAATCGCAATTCTTGACTTGGTATCGAAACCAAAATGTTGGTATCGTGACAACACTGACAGTTAAACCTGATATTTAGTAGGTCTGTTAAGTATTGAATGCTGATCATTCTGACGTAATTTGGCCGGTCAAAGTTGTTTGGGCTCGGATAAAATCGCTCCGTTACTTTGGTCCCGTGTTACTTTCGTCCCGGCTCTCCCTACGTGTGTATGTGTGGTGTGAGGTGTCAGTATGAGAGGATGACAGCGCGTCTAATTTTGATGTGGCCCAACAGCCAATCACAATAATACCTGCAATGCAGTGAACCAATCACCTTTGAGGGGGGAAACCTATTGTTGATTAAACACTATTCAGTGTTTCCCCTACCATTGTCTTGGAGGGGCACTGCGAGCCGCCAACGGAGCCCCGTGCCCCCCCTGAAATTCAAGGTGTTATATATATACTTTTTTAAAATATATATAGCATCAAATTGCAAATAATCTATAACTACTGTCACTTTTCACATTGAACATGTGCTCTTTTATTAAATAAACTAAACGCTTTCATTTTAATTTGTGGGTTTAGTGTTTTTGACCCTAAGAAACACTGATGCATTAATCAATAACAATAATACACAGCTCCTCTCTCTGCTCCAGAGGATTTTAAAAATATATCCCAATGCCACAAAAATGAATCAGTGACGTGGTTGAAATCTTGTCTCCAGAAAACAAAAAACTGAAACAAGCGGTATCAGTGACTGTGTGTTTGATGTGGCTCCTTGCAGTAACATAGAAAACATGTGGCTCTTAACCTCTGACTGGTTGGCCACCCCTGCTGTATACAGTTAAACATATTTTTGAGTTAAGACAGTTTGGCTTCAGGAAAGTTTCAGCTTTTTCCATAAGACTGCAACATGCAAACTGAAATTGGGAATATTTAAAGCCAGAAAGGGGAAACAATCATCCTATTAGAAAAAGACTGGAGGTCAGGTGTAGCTGTTTGTGAATTAAGCTTTGACATTTAGTGTTAAAGCAAAACTAGGGAAACAGTGGCATAATTATGAGAAATATTTATAATGTATTCAGTATATGTATCCGTTAATCCCAACACATTTTAAATTGCAATGGCCATTAGAATGTATTTTACTTAAAACCCTGAAAAGCAAGGACATGTTAAATAGCATCTTGTTATAAAGTGTTTTATTAGGAATTACTATGTTTTCGCAGTAATTGCTATCTTAACGATACTCTGATTTTATTCAAATCTGTTTATACTTGAAAGATGCTATTCTCTGAAAATAAAGGCAGAAATCTAATATTACACAGGATATGAAGTGGCCTTTTGTTATCATTAATTTGTTTTAAATCCCTTCAGGC